ATTTCTAAAAGTGGAATTATGGGATCATATGGTATTTCTATTTTTAGTTTTTTGAGGAACGTCCATATGCTTTCCATAGTGACAGGACCAATTTGCATTCCTACCAACAGTGTAGGAGAGTTCCCTTTTAGTCCTCATAATAATCCTTCTTTTAGTTTTAACAGTAACTTCATAGTCCTTTACCCCCATCTACTTAATTTTTTTTTACAGGTGGATATTTGAGATGTTTCCAGTTTCCATGATAAAAGTTTTGGTACCTATGATATCCTTCCCATATTTTAGCCTTTTTTTTTTTTTTTGAATAGATTCCTAAGAAGTGAAATTTTTGGGTCAAAATGTACAAACATTTTATGACTTAAAAGACAAAAGAGAGAAAGCCAAATTGCTTTCTAAAAGAATTGTATCTATTTGCATAATTATTAAAAATGTGAATGAATTCCCATCTCACCATACACACACCAGATTCATTTTGTTTTTTCACTAAAAGGAGTAAAGAGGAGGAAGATAAGTGCTCATTTCTGTTTAGTAGACAACAGCATGATTATTAATGGTGATAGGCATTTGTGAGAATGTGCCAGACTCGGCTCTCCTGTGAGTACTAGCATGGTGACAATTAGCCAACATATATTCAGTGTACAATGTGTGTATATATCAGAAACATGCCTGACATGTACTCAGTAAATGAGAGCTATTATCATTGTTGCTGCTCTTTCTAGTAATGACCAAATGTGGTGATTCTTAGCCTGAATCTGCTCTTTCAGGCCCTCCCCTCCCTCAGACTGTGGTCCTCCCATCATTTGGAGCACCCCCAGCTCTTCTCCCTTGTGGCAATGCTGCCCCCAAGTCCTGTGCTGCCTGTGTTCTCTACTAGACATGGCTTTGCATTGCTGGCAGCTGCCCTCAGCCCTCAGAGTACCAAAGCTGCACCTGTACTGGAAAGCACGGTGACAGAAGCGTCTACCTGATGCTCAGAGTCTTAGAAATGCTTTTGTTAACACAGCTCCTCCATAGAGGTTCAGGCCACAAGGTATATAAGGGGACCAGTGTGCCATGCTCCCTGTGGTAGGCAGAAGAAACCCCAGAGGCATCCATGTGCTACATTTGGAACCTGTGAATATGTTACCATACATGGTGAAGGGCCTTTTTGGATGTGTACTTTCTTATAAGTGCAGGAGGGAGGTAGGAGGCTAAGAGTACGAGAAACAGAGAGTGAGTTAATGCCACACTGCTGGTTCTGAAGGTGGGAAGCGGTCAGGAGCCAAGAAATGTAGGCTCCTCCAGGAGCGGGAAGAGGCAGAGAAACGGACATTCTTTTAGAGCCTCCAGAAGATTTGCAGCTCTGCTGGCACCTTGGTTTTTAGCCCAGTGACACCTATTCTGACCTCCAGAACTCTAAGATCATAAATGTGTGTCATTTTAACCTATTAAGTTTTTGGTAGTTTGTTACAGCAGCAGGAGGACTCCCCTGAGATCCTCGCCTCTTCCCCTTATTTCTCTTTCCAGGTTTCCTTTAAAGCCCTTTCCCTCTCTTTTAGCTCTTAAGTTGAAAGTCCCCAAGTTAATTCAGACAATTAGGAAGGCCTGCCAGTCAGGACACCTGCTGCTCATTAGTTGCATTTGCTCTTCTGTAAGCTGTTTAGGTTCTTTGCCCCACCAATGACTCTTAATGTCAGAAAAATACAGATCCATATCTTGCCACTCCAGGACCCCACAGTGAGCCACACGCTGTCACGTAGCCATCCATCCAGTCATCCATAAAGACATACCTACTGCCAGACACCGAGCTAGTATCGGGATGTAAACATGGAAGTGCACAATCTATACCTTTATAGAGGCCAGAGGTGGCTTGAGAACAGCATGTATATGTTAAACATTTTTTTTTTTATCCTGTGGGTGTTCAAATATGTATGTTTTTCCAGAAAGCAATTGGGGTACATGGAGCTCCTTTGACAAAGTAGCAAAGGACAGGACCTGCACTCTGGCTCCATTTTGTCTCCCGCTTTGTATTAAGATGGAGACAGGAGTTAAAGAGTTGAGTGACAGAGAAGCACAGAGGAAAACCAGCGCAGCCCCTGCGATCTCTGCTTAGGATCATTCCTCCCTTTTTTTTCCCCCTCTTTAGTCCTCCTTTCCTGTCTCTGACGCAGGGAGTTAAGGGCCTGAATGAAACCTGTTGGAGGTTCCAATTAGATCTTTGTGGACAGAGGGCACACACGGCAGCCTCAGATAACAAGTGGCAATAAATTCAACAGCGCAGCTGTCAGAGTCCCTGCCGTGTGGCTCAGAGCAGCCAGCGCCTCGGCGAGGACCCACACAACATGGGCTCCAAGGTAGGATGTTCTCTCTCTGGACTCTGAATCCTTCCTTGTAGTTTGTGTCTCTCAGCAGAGAGTTCTCAGTCTAGCGGAAGGTTTACTACTGATTTGTTGGCAAATCCCTTATTTGGTTTGGTGGGTTGGTTTGTATTTCTTTGGTCTGCCTTAGAGTACTGCCTTCATTCTGTGTACATCTTTTCATTTTCCATTGCTTTTCTTTCAATCTCTTAATATTCTTTCTTACGTACTCTAAGTAAATTTGTATTTAGGAATACCTAAATGAAAGGTCTTAAGTACATGCATTTTCTGGTTAGAACTTATCTGGGCATGTGGCTCGGTGGGGACCTCTTGGTCACTTAGAACTGTAGTATGGACAGTGTTATTTGTCCAGCCCTGGTCTGACAACAGAACACGGTATCTCAGGGCTCGGCGTACTTACAGCACTGGAGGCTGACTCCTGAACCCTAGTGATTATCATAAAATTATTTACTTCTTATGTTATGAAAGTAATTAATTATAGACTATTTAAAAATTACAGAAAAGGATAAAGAAGATAATTTAAGTCACTGATTATAATAGCTGATACTTGGGTGTGTGTCTCAGACCCTCAAAAGTGTGCAAATGTATTTATTTTTTATATAATTGAAGCCAAGCTTTAATTTAATATTCTTTTTAAAATTAACATTATATTAAGAGTATTTCCTAAGTCATTGAAATTATTTGAAAACATAATTTCTAAAAGCTATTTCTATCCCATCATTAAAATGTTTCACCTTTTCACTGATAAAAATAATTAAGCAATTAATGATTTTAAATATACATCTTTGGCTGTGCTTCTGATCATTTCTTTAGGGTAGGTTCTTAGAAGTAGTTACCAAATCAAAGGATATGCAATTTTTAGAGCCTGATGCATTTCATGACATTTATTTCAAAACTTGTAAGATTTTAAATTCATTTCACGAAATGCATATCATGGCATTTATTTTAAAATTTGTGTGATACTACAACAGATGGCACCTAAAAGAAAATGAAACTCTCCTCAGAAACTGTTTTATCTGAAGTTTAACAAAACAGTGTAACTTAATGCTATGATATGAAATCCTAAGTAAAAAATGAATCATGAAAAGTTGATGTTTTATTTACACAGAGTAGCACACCTTTCTGAGCAGGGACTTACAGCTTAGACAAAAGGATAGGAACGAATCTAGTACCCCAGAGCAAGGGATGGTGGAGTGCAGTGTTGTCAGTTAAAAAGCTTGGGGTTCCATTCCAGTTTGACACTAATTGTGTGACCTGAGACAAATCCGCTGACCTCCTGAATCTCACATTTCTCCTCTGTGAGATGAAAGGGCTGGTCTCTGTCAGAGTTTCTCAGTGGAGAGCATGAGCAATGCTGTGGCACAAGAGAGATTTTTTTGGGTAGTACATTAACCATAAGCCATAGTTTTGGGGTGGTACATAGATACAGATCACAATTTTGAGGGGGGGCATAGCACATAAACTTATTTTTCAAAACAACAGTATTTCAGTTTTTAAGAGTAGATTCAGAGGCAAAGATTGAATAATAGTCAAAGTAGTCCTCAGATAATGATACAAACCATCAAGGTGAAAGGCAAATGTCTGGCATTTGAGAAACATGGAACTAGGGGGCCTCTAGAATTAGCTTAATGTGCTACATGGAATTCCAGATACAGAGAGCTAGTAAGCAGTGTCTTCTTGGAAGGCACTGGGAGAACCAGGTGGAGTTGCTGACATGTGTAAGAATTGACAGAGACACAGGCATGGGAAAGGTTCAAATGCCTTCCTGCTACTTATAACTCTGCACTAAGTTGATGTTTTATTTACACAGAGTAGCACACCTTTCTGAGCAGGGACTTACAGCTTAGACAAAAGGATAGGAACGAATCTAGTACCCCAGAGCAAGGGATGGTGGAGTGCAGTGTTGTCAGTTAAAAAGCTTGGGGTTCCATTCCAGTTTGACACTAATTGTGTGACCTGAGACAAATCCGCTGACCTCCTGAATCTCACATTTCTCCTCTGTGAGATGAAAGGGCTGGTCTCTGTCAGAGTTTCTCAGTGGAGAGCATGAGCAATGCTGTGGCACAAGAGAGATTTTTTTGGGTAGTACATTAACCATAAGCCATAGTTTTGGGGTGGTACATAGATACAGATCACAATTTTGAGGGGGGGCATAGCACATAAACTTATTTTTCAAAACAACAGTATTTCAGTTTTTAAGAGTAGATTCAGAGGCAAAGATTGAATAATAGTCAAAGTAGTCCTCAGATAATGATACAAACCATCAAGGTGAAAGGCAAATGTCTGGCATTTGAGAAACATGGAACTAGGGGGCCTCTAGAATTAGCTTAATGTGCTACATGGAATTCCAGATACAGAGAGCTAGTAAGCAGTGTCTTCTTGGAAGGCACTGGGAGAACCAGGTGAAGTTGCTGACATGTGTAAGAATTGACAGAGACACAGGCATGGGAAAGGTTCAAATGCCTTCCTGCTACTTATAACTCTGCACTCTTCATTTCAGCAGTGACATAAGTCTGGGCAGTGAAATAAGTCACTTGTCTGGGCAGAATTCCTCCCCTCTTCTGTAGAGGCTGCAGAAGACCTGCAGTCATAACAGGACCTCCCCTAAGAACCTGGAGGAGAAGACGCCTCAACCCAGCCCTCACCATGCTCAGGGGGGTTTTGGACACTCCTCGGCGGTTGCTGAAGGAGGGAAGGGAGTCCCGGAAGCTGGTGCTCGTGGTGGTGTTTGTTGCTCTGCTCCTGGACAACATGCTGCTTACTGTGGTGGGTACGTGTGGGGGTCTTTGTGCTGAGGGGTCATTTGCTCCAGCCCCGGTGGGCAGCACACACCACACTAGAATTCAGCAATGAATGGACTTGGGCATTTTTCTTTATATGCTTGAAAACTCACAGAAGTTGCTGGGGATTGGAGGCAACAGCAGGAAATGGGGCCTGGAGCTTGACAACCATTGCTGAAAGACCCAGAGACTCCATGCAAAGGGAGGTCAGATTGCATCTGACCAAAGAGGAGGTCGACCTGGAACCAGCACTGGCTTTATTTTACTTCCTCCTCATAGTTCTTCACAAGATGTTAATGACTCCAAGTGGCCTCGAGGAAAGGAGCATCTTCTTACTGTGCTGCTCCAGCCTCTGCTCTACCCCAGTTACATACCTCATAGGGAGATCCAATTCTTCATCAAAACCTATCTTTCCTGTGGTGCATTCCCTCACAGGAAATGCTTTTTCCAGTTGATAGTCTATTAATGTTTACATTCAGTTATGCCTGTATATAAATGGGTGCTAACATGTTGCCCCTCTGGGTAAAATGCATGCTATCTAAAATATATGCTGTGTGTAAACAAGAATCCTCCTAAGACAAATTGCTTTTCCAATTCAGTCAATCCCCATGATTTGTGGTGGTTATGTTCTATAAAGTCACTGCAAACACTGAATTTAGCCAATACTGACTACACACACACACACACACACACACACACACACACACACACACACACACATCCCATGCAAATTATAGCCTTAAATCCTACAAGCAATGCTTCCTCGTAGGCTCTGTTTTCTTTACACAAGAAAGAATGAGGTTCAGAAGGGGTAAGTGACTTGCCTGAGGGTTACCCACTAGCAGATGTGGAGCTGGGATGCCAGCTCTGCCCACGGCCACAGAGCCAGAGCTTCCGACTGGGCACTGCTCTGCCCCTCCCATCTCCACGCACTGCCACATCCTTGTGAGAGCTGAAGCAAGAAGGCAGAGCCTGTCTGGTTTCACCTTAGCTGGGAAAGTGAGCATCTGGGGATTCAAAATTTTCTCCACTCTCTGCATGTATGTCAGAAAAATCGTGACCATTCTGCGAGTATTGATTCTGTGATTGCAAATAAATTTTAGCAGGTAGGCATATTAGCCAACATGGATTTAGATGCTTTAGCTAGTTGGATAATTTGGGCAGGAACAGCAGGTGTCACATCAGGTCACAAACATACCTTCCTCGAGCATGAATCGTATAGTAGCGCTCTGGACCAGCCAGTGGTAAAAAGACGATCTGTTCTTAGCCCTCATATGTGTCTTTCTTGACTTTCAGTGCCCATTGTGCCCACCTTCCTATATGCCACGGAGTTCCAAGAAGCCAGCACTTCTCTGCACCTCAGCCCCTCCATGACTCCCCAGCGTGTTCCTGCCCCTCCTGCCTTTTCCACCATCTTCTCCTTCTTTGATAACAACACAGTGGCTACTGATGAAAGCGCTCTTCACAGTAGCAGAGCATGGATAAATGGCACTTCTGGCACTGTCCTCCCTCCTGTCACTGGAGCCTTCCCAGCACATAAGAACAACTGCTTGCAAGGCTCAGAGTTCTTGGAGGAAGAGAACATACGGGTCGGGGTTCTGTTTGCTTCAAAGGCTCTGATGCAACTTCTGGTCAACCCGTTCGTGGGGCCTCTCACCAACAGGTATCCCAGTGGGCACTGTGCTACACGTGTATGCAGGGGCTCAGGGATAAGCACATGGGTTGAGGCATCGTATAGGTAGCTAGAGGGGAAAAAGAAGGAAAACACGCTTGTTCCTGACTGTGTGCAAAGCTGGTTACTCCAAAGGACACAATGTTGATGAAATGCCATGGCCTTTAGATTTTCTTAGGGGTATAATGACTATTGAGTTCCAGGAAAAGAACCAGTGATCAGAAGTATACTGTTGATATGTCAGTGCCCTGGAACATGGCTCAAATGTCGTGAGGGTGGAAATGGGACATGCAGTTGTGTTTGGGATTAACCTGATGTTTCAAAGGGATATACACTCTGACCAGGCTATCCTTTCTGGAAAACAGGATTTTGACCCTGGTCCATGGGTAATTTTTGCATGTTTGTTTATTTGCTGATATGTATTCACACGTCATACTGTACCTCTGTACCTGCATTCAGAGACATGTTTATCATGTACTCAAATAACTGCATTTCTCTTTCCCCTAACATGAAAAAAAAATACAGTCCAAGTATACGGATGTCTATTAGAACTGTATCTTTTTTTAAATTCCCTTTTAGGATTGGATATCACATTCCCATGTTTGCTGGCTTTGTTATCATGTTTCTCTCCACAATTAGTAAGTAATTTGCCTCCTCTTTTCTTCCCTTCAGTGATTATCATTTTAATTTTTAATTGTTTAAACTTATTTTTAACTGGAGTATAGTTGATATACAATGTTACATTAGTTTCAGGTGTACAACATAGTGATTCAATCCTTATATGCATTATGAAATGCCCACCATAATAAGTGTAGTTACTGAGTTATAATATTATTATATTATAATATTACATTATAATATTATTGACTGTATTCCCCATTCTGTACCTTTCATCCCCATGACTTACTTATTTTATAACTGGAAGTTTGTACCTCTTGATCCCTTTCACTTATTTTGCCACCTCATTCCCCTCTGGCAATCGTGAGTTTGTTCTCTGTATTAATGAGTCTGTTTTTCTTTTGTTTTGTTTGTTTTGCTGTTTAGATTCCATATATGAGTGAAATCATATGGTATTTGTCTTTATCTGAGTTATTTCACTTAGCATAATACCCTCTAGGTCCATCCATGTTATTGTCACAGATAGCAATATTTCATTCTTTTTGATGGCTGAGTAATATTCCATTGTGTATATGTACCACATTTTCTTTATTCACTCATCTATTGATGGATATTGAGGTTGCTATCATATATTGGCTATTCTAAGTAATGCTGCAGTAACATAGAGGTGCATGTATCTTTTCAAATTAGTGGGGTTTTTTTGAGTAAAATACCCAGAAGTGGAATTACTGAATTGTAGTTTAGTTCTATTTTTAGTTTCCTGAGGAAACCTCCATACTGCTTTCTACAGTGGCTGCACCTATTTACATTCCCATCAATAGTGCACAAGGATTCTCTTTTCTCCACATGCTCACCAACACTTCTTATTTCTTGCCTTTTTGATCTTCACTGATTACCTTTGATTTTGTCACATGCATGGCAGAGAAGAAAGCAGGGTCAAATTAGCTAATTAGGCATCTGACTGAATGCCTTATGACACTGATTTAAATGCTTTGCAGCTTCTAGAGCAGTGGTAGCAACTTAGTCTAGTTGGAATTTGCATATTCTTCTGTAGAAGAATAGACACTCCACTTCGTTCAGCCAGGAAAAATTGTGGAGGCTGTTTTAATGGGTATGCTATGTGTGTGTGTGTATGTATGTATCTATCAGTAATCCCTTGAGTAGGTTTAATGCAAATCTTCCATCTTTGGGAGAGGTCATCTGCAAAGGTAAAGAGCAACTAACAGAATCTAAATTGGACAATAGCAACTGGGAGATTCCAAAAAGTCTACTGCCTATAGGTAAGGACATTAAAGGTTACAGCTTAGGAAAATGAGTTTTCTAAAGAGACAAGAAAGAGAAAGACAAATAGTCTGTACAGTGTCAGATAAATGTTCCTAATAAAATGGAGATAGAGTAAGAACAGTAAGTGAAAATAATACATCTGGAAATTGGCCTTGAGAATTGAATAAGAAAGAATGGATGGCAAGGGACCGGTGGGGCTGTGTGTGGATGTCAAAGCAGGGGAGGTACCTGATGGCTCTGCTGACTTGCTGCTCCCAGCAATATCTTCTTCCTCTTCTGTTTTTTTATTTTTTAGTGCCTTTCTATTACTTGTCTGCTTTTTCTATTGCTCCTTCTCAAGTTCCCTTCCCTTCCAACATAGGGCTGGACCCCTATCAACCCACACTTAATGGAAATTTGTTGCATTCAAATCTAGAAGGTTGCTAAATGCAGGAACTCATTGTGTGAAGTTCTGTAAGAGATGCAGCTTATTCGTGAAAATTCTAGCTGAGTCAAAACAGGGAAATTCAAGTTTTATGTTTACTGAACTTCTAGAAGCTTAACCTATGCTGAAGAGTAAATTAAAACCTAATAAGATGCTCTATTTCATCAAATGAGTCATCTAACACTTTCCACAAAACCTTATGGAACACACAAATTGTTCCTCAATGGTAAAAATGTAAACAATGAGAAGACATGGTTCCAGCTACCCAGGAGTTTATGATGCCTGCCTGGGAGACATGACAAACACTCTGAAAAATAAAACAATGCTACAGGACCCCCAGCTCTCTAGCATAAGTCCTTGCCTGAATCTCTGCCAAAGAACTCATGTTTTGAATGCCCTGTAATTAGTTTTTGATAATGCGTTCCTATTTGGTTCTCTGTTTTGTGTATGTTAGTCTCTAGTAGATTGAACCTCTTCAAGGACATGAACTGAATGTTCTCCTTATTTTACATCTGCTACAGAGTCTAGCATAGCTTAGGTAGAGTATTACTTAATAAATACTAGCTTATTTGATTTGGCTAAAAGATCTTCCAATATGAAGTAAGGGGAAATATCTGGTCTATCTGATTGGATCACAAGATACTATTTTCTACCAATGGCTATGGTCCTTCAAGTACACATAGTTTATGTCCCCTTATTCCAGATGATCCTATGGTAAAGGTCAACTCTTGGTGTTGCATATGGGGGGTCCAGAGGATGGTTCTAAGGACAAGTTCCCAGCCCTTGGCATTGGACTTCTTTGGCAGTCCTGATTTCCTGTGGATAGGATATTGGGCTTTGGGCAGGAAGAGTGGAAATCCAGCCTTCTATCCACAGTGTGATGAAGTAGTTTATGCATCTGTGGTTTCTCAGTCTGCCTGTCAATTAAAATGTAATCCTGATTAAGGGGCGTAGATTTAAAAAATAACTCCAAAAACAGGGAGCTGTGATCCTGCCTTACAGAGACATGTGCACAATGGCTCATGGCTGTGATGTCATGGGCCTGTTTCCCAGAGGCCAGGGAACAAAAGCAATTTGCTAAGTGATAATTCTTTCTCTTCCCTTTGCCCAGTGTTTGCTTTTTCTGGTACCTATACCCTGCTTTTTGTGGCCCGAACCCTTCAAGGCATCGGATCTTCATTTTCATCTGTTGCAGGTAATGCTGATGTATTGCACAAACGTATACACACATATCTCCATCTCTTAGTACCTTCAGACCCGATAAGACTTATATGAAAGAAGTTAAGGAAAATATCCTAACAGGCAGAAATTGTGATGCAAAAACAAGATAAGTGTAGAGTTGCTAGCAGTGCCTATAAATCCCCAAGCCTAGAATAACTGATAATCTAGTATTTAGATGCAGGTAGCTCAGGGAAGAGCCAGCCTAAAAAAATCTGTGAAGTAGGCCAGGCTTTTGTTTAATGCCACTATCTGGTCTCCTCCCTGTCCTCGTAACATTTTATAGGGCAAGTAATGCTGATAACCAGCAGTAATATGATCACAGTTTGCAAAGTATAATCAAACACTGTATTTAATGTATCTACCTCTCAGGTTGATATTTTATGCCATTTTGCACATGAGTAAATGGCTGTGAGGGCCCACTCTCCCTTCCAGGCTCTCGGGGCTCCCACACTCTCCCCTGGGCATCCCATGAGTAGAACAGAGCCCTGTGCTCCTGTGTTTTCCTTGCCTTGACCTACTCCATAGCCATTCTTTCAGGGACATGTGCTAAGAAATGATAAAATTAAATGGGATGTAATATCCCTGGACAGTGGTATTCTGTGTTACACTTCCCAGAGTCTTTTGCACTTCCAACAATATTCTGCACAGAAGGAATGAGCAGTGTAGGAGTACTTGTAAAATACTATGGTCTGTAAAACTCCTCAACTCTGGCTAAGATCGTCCTGCTGATGTGAGAGGGCAGAGACCAAGGCTTCTGGAGAGGGGCAGACGAGCTCCTGGTGCTGATGCCATCTGTCACTCTCTTTTAGGTCTGGGGATGCTGGCAAGTGTCTACACTGATGACTTCGAGAGAGGGCGTGCCATGGGAGTCGCCTTGGGGGGCCTAGCTTTGGGAGTGCTGGGTGAGTGGCACCTGGCCCCGGGTCTGGGTTCAGGCAGGTGGGTACTGAAGACCCTGTGAAGATGGCTCTGGGGGCAGGTGTTCCTAAGGTAAGGAAGCTGAACAGTCTGTAAAAGGCCCGGGAATGGTCCAGAAATGAGGCTCTTCAAGGCTGTGACTTTCCCCTTAGCAGCCACTGCCTCACCTCTGCTTCCACGCCCTGCCAGTGCTTTCACGTGACAGCATGAGAGCTCTTGGCCAGATTTTGTGCTAAATACATTACAACCATTATCTCCTTTAATTCTCACCACCGCACTGTAAAGGAATAATAATTGCCCCCGTTACACAGATGAGTATAAGGTGAGATTAAATAGCCATCCAAGGTCACACAGCCAGGAAATGCCAGAGCCAGGATATAGACTCACATTTTCTGGGCTCAGATCCTAAGCTGTTGTATGACTTAGCTGTGTCATCCAACAAGCCACATACTTTTATACTTATTACATGCCAAGCATAAGATTAGGACAGTAGGATATAGGTGAGAAGCCTCAGACATGCCTACCTCCTAGAAGCTTACAAGCTAATTCAGGAAAGAAACACCAAAAGTCTCTACCCTGGCCCCTACCCATTCTCTACCACCATGGGGAGCAAGGGAACAAAAACCTTACTCTGCTGGTATCCACCTGCCCAAATACCCAAGTTAAAACTTCCATGCATCTTAGTCTCCTTATAACCACTTACTACCCATGGATAAACCATTGTATCCTCTACAGCCACTTCCTCAAGATCAGATCTTCACCACATCTCAATTGCAATATGGAATCAGCTGCCTGCCTGATCTTTTGCCCATCCCCTCCTACCTCCAAAGGGCCATCAAAAGAAGCTGCCTGTGCCCAGGGCTGGTGGTTTCTACTCTGCTAAAAAGCACTAAAGGTTCTCCCTAGCCCACAAGGCCAAGTAGATGCTTTATGTGCATTTACAGGGCTCCTAGCAATTGGCTTCAACCTTCCCCACATCTATCCTTCCTCTCTCAAATGCTCCTATGCTAGTAGCACTGACTTTCTTCTATTTCTTCTCCTACCACACTTTCTTTTCTGCACCTCAGCGTTCTTCAAACATGCTTCTTTCCCACCAGTATTATCCAGGTGACAAAGCCTTTGTGGCCACCTGAACGCCCTTCACTGTGTTTACACAGCACTTTGCAGACGGAACCTTAATGCTGAACTTCGCTTTCATCACATTCTCATTATCCCCCCAAGCACCCCCACACACGTACGCATTTCCTCCACTAGAAAGTGAGTCCCTTGGAACTAGGTCTTCTTCATCTCGGAAAGAGCCTCAAGTGGAGCTCAGCTCCTAGAGGCCTTCAGGAAATACTCACTGAGTAAATGTGCACACATCGCACGGCTGGGAATTGGTCCTCACCTCCGGAATCTGTGCCCTTGTTGCCTTTCAGTGGGAGCTCCATTTGGAAGTGTGATGTATGAGTTTGTTGGGAAGTCAGCACCCTTCCTCATTTTGGCCTTCCTGGCACTGCTGGACGGAGGTACGTCACTCTAACAGACCACTGGGCAGGAGGTAGCCCAGGTCAGGCTGGAAATGCAACATGCTGTGGAATGTAATAGTCTTGACATGTTTGGCTGGATCAAGGACTGTCCCATCCTGGGAAAGAAGGGAGAAGCTCAGAGAGTTAGATCTGTATGTGATAAGATAGTAGCCATGTGGCTGTTACTGGGGCCTCTAACTAATGGACAAACTCAACTGTCTCTGTCTCTCCCACTTTCTTTCTTAGCCCTCCAGCTTTGTACCCTCCAGCCTTCCAAAGCTTCCCCTGAGGTAAGTAGATGCCAACCCCCATTGCCAAGAAGTACAGAATACTAAGTACACAGATCCAGGTGTCCTTAGATCATCCCTGTCAAACCATAAGAAGAAAGGTGAAGGGGAGTGGAATCAGGGAAAGGGAGATCTGTGCTTGGATTCCTAGGTAGGGTCATCTTTAGGATCATGGGGGGGATGGTGAGGAATCTGGCTTAATGTTGGACAATGGAAGGACCTTATGAATAATCAAGGAAACTTACAGAATATATTTAAAATAAATAACTCAGAGCAAGGAGACAATGAGAGTGGGACCCATGTATTCACAGTTATGACATCTCAGAGCTACAGAAGACCTTGGAGGCCATCCAGACAACCCTCTCCAAGAACATCCTTACAGACTGCCATTGTGTTTCAGTTAAATCTCTGAGTTGGTATTTGTATGACTCCAATCTGAGCTCTGGGAAATCCATATCAACCCATGAAGGAAAAAAAGATAAGGAAGTATAAAAAACATGAAAAGTTTGATCTAAAGACCTTGATTTTGTAGCCAAGTCAGACAGAAGTGTGAGTAACCTGGGAGCCCACTGCTTGTGATTGGCATCTGAAGTGGGGGAGGCTTGTGGGACTGAGTCCTTCATCTGTGGGACCTGTGCTAACTCTAAGTAGCTAGTGTCCGAACTGAAATAGATTGTAGGGACACCCAGCTGGTGTCCACAGAGAACTGTTTGGTGTGAAAAACCCACACATTTGGTCTCAGAAGTGTTGTGAACAGAGAAATGATTTTCCTGTAATATCTTTTTGATTAATTTAGACTTTTAGATGATAATGTTCTTCATCATAAAAAAAATTATTGTTTTTTCTGGCTGTATGGTACACCATTGTGGTGTACCATGTTTATTCCATCCCCTATATTTGGGCATTTAGGTAGTTTCCAGTATTTTGCAGCTACAAATAGTGCTGCAATGAATGACCTTATGTATATACATTTTTATAATGCCAGAGGTAATCTTTAGAGTAAATTCCTAGAAGTGGAACTGTTGGGTCAAAGAGTTCATATATATTTTATGATTTAGATCTGTCTCTTTACCTTGAATTATATTTGGGGGAGAGCATAATCTTTTTAGTTTTAGTATTTCTGAATATTTTAATCCGTCCTCATCAAATATCAGAACTATTAAATCAATTGCAAGTGAGAACATAGTAAATATCATAGGTTAGGACACAGTGCTCAGGAAATTTGAAAAGGGGGAGAAATTCCCATGACGTAGTTAGAAAAAAATGAAAAAGAAGGAGCCGCTGAAGCTTGAAGTTGAAGAGTATGTAGGTTTGAACCTGTGGAGAGAAGGAAGGCCATTTAGGCAGAGGTAACAATGATGGCTGAGGGTCTGCTGGGATCCCTGGCAGGTGGAGTGGCCAAACAGAGCCTGGAATAAAGAGTCTCTGAGGGGGTGGGGAATTAGAACCGGCGTTTTAATCTAGATGCTCACGCTCCTCCTGCTGCCCCAGTCCGGTGTGACTCAGATGGTTGGAATGAAGAATTCAGAGAGCGTGGGGTGCTGAGCTGTCCCTCTGTGCTCACTTCCAGATTCAGCACTCTGTCTGTGGGTCTCCTAGGATGAACCTTAGTGCCAGTGAGATCTAGTGGAAAGGCCAACTCCAGGAGTGCAGACACCTGCTGTCCAAGATGGCCTTGCTGGCAGTCCCCTCTGACCTGGCTGAGTTACTTGAAAGCAGGAATGTCTGGACTATACTGTCCTGTTCTTTGTGACAATGCCTGCCTTGCGCAGAGGAGGTGTGTTGCCCCAGCTCACTTTGTGACATTAGGCAAGTCATACTCTCTCATTGGACCTGGGTGTCTGGCCTCTTCAGTAGAAGAGCTGACATAGATGTCTCCAGGATCCTGTCTGCACCTTCTCAGACTGTGAGAAATAGGGGAGATGTATACCCTGTACAAATGGAAGTTTTTGTTGTCCTTGTCCTCAGAGAGCCGAGGGAACTCCACTCCTAACGCTTCTCAAAGACCCCTATATCCTGGTGGCTGCAGGTAAGCTGACCCTGCCTTCTGTTGGGCTGGGAGAGTCTGGCTTCGGATGGCCACAGTGCCTCACAGAGCTGTCTCCCCAGGCTCCATCTGCTTTGCCAACATGGGAGTGGCTATGCTGGAGCCCACACTCCCCATCTGGATGATGCAGACTATGTGCTCCCCTGAGTGGCAGCTAGGTAAGTGACCTCGGGCCCAGACTTGGGCTTGGGCAAAGTGCATGCCCTTCCTCAGGGATCTGAGAAACGTCATCAGGTCCGGGTCTCCAGGGTCACAGAAGAACAAGGTATTTCCTTTGTGGAATTCTCTTCCCTGTCCACACCCATGAGTTAAGCCTGAATAGGTGGGCAGTCCCTCCAAGATGCAGCTCGAGGGGGGCAGAGTTAGGGGGTTGACAGGGTCTAGGGAGCAGCAGCGTATTTGTTGTATGGTGGGATGATTGATGGCTTCTGGCAGAAGACCAGAAAGACCTGACTTTCTGAGCATCACTTTTCTCATCTCTAAAATGGGCACCAGAGTACTATCTAGTTCAAATGGTAATTTGAGGAATAAATTGCATAGTGTGTGAAAATGCTTTGTACCTGTAGAATATTAGTATGTATCACCATTACCACCCACACTTTTCACACTTCAGTTCTCCTCCGAGATTACCTGTGTGCCTCTTTTTACCTTAAAAAGGTGCTTGTGGAATGTGTATCTCTGTGAGAAAGCCTCCAGCCTCCTCCCCTCTGTGGGGAGATGTCCTTGTGACTCGCTTGAACTTAGGGAGAAGGCTCTGGCCCTTTCCAGGAAGCCCGATGAAAGGAGACAGAGAAGGCTACGTGCAAATTGCTCAGTCATTGCTGGGAGCAGAGGCTCATGGGGCCAGAGGGACAGCTGATAAGGGCCTGATAGAGCTCAGCATGCAATGAAAAGCAGTAAATTTAATTTTTTAGGGGACAATTCTCAGTCAGGCTCCCAGCTGCACTCCTGGCCCCAAATTGAATTTCTCTAGGCTGCAGCTGCCTCTGACCATGACAGTTAATTGAGTCAGTTGGCACTTGTGCAGAAAACCATGGCCTGCCCAGGGCTCCGGCCTTAGGCTCTTGGTGTACAGTGATCTGCAGTCAGATCAGCCCCTCCCAGCCCATCTCTGGAGAGAGATTAAAAGCAAAGCAGCCGCTAGCCAGTACCTGTTGAATTGTTGACTTTGGGTTTAATTGTAATTGTCATGACAGTTTTTATAGGCAGCACTGTGTCCTCTAGGTGAAGAAAGTGAGACCCCAGGAAACTCACTGGGCCAGTTCTACGCAGTCTCTTCCTTGTGCCTCACAGTGAGAGCCCCCCGGAGGGAAAGTTGGGCTCCAAGGAGGCTCTGTGTCCCACACTCCTTTATGGCCTTCTCAGCGCTATCTGCATCTGCGAATCTAACTACAAAGCTTCTCATACAGCCTGGAGAGCCTGTTAAACTCAGATTGCTGGGTGCCACCCAGAAATTCAGTACAAACAAGTCTACATTCCTAGTAAGTTTCCTGGTGATGCTGATAGGGAGTCGCTGTGAGCAGTGTCGCCCCAAGTGTAGAGCACCTCCCAGGGTTGTCGGGGAGGAGATGAAGCTTTTGAGAGTGATTTGCCCCCTGTGGCAGAGCGCTCCGCTCCCTCAGTGACCTGCTGCGTGCCCGGCGCTGTCACCGAGGGGGGGAAAGAGCCCAGGCTTTGGAAACAGTCTTACCTGGGCTTGAATCCTCACCTGGCCACCTACTGGTTGTGACCTTGGATAAGTCATTTAACCTCTTCAAGCTCCACTTTTTCATTTGTAAAAATGCAGATGATTTCAGAGTTGTTTTCAGGATACATACATAGACCTATGTCTTCTAAAGGGGTTAGCACAATGCACAGAATATAGGACATGCTCCGTAAATAAAAATTATTGCTCTTTTCATCACTGCGTGTCTGCAGACCTATAGTCTAGAACATCTATTTTGCACAAAGTGTCACTGATACGCAAGCTCTACTCAAATGAAAAAGAATAGGCCACATTGGGAAAAATTCACGTTATTTAAAATGATGCCAAGGAGATGTATCTAGGAGCTGGTAGGCTTCCTAGAGGTGCCATTTCCAGATACCAGGTAAGCAGTAGAGTCGCTACACTTCTAATTTTTTTTGAAGCAATCAAACAGAAATGAGTGAATACAGTTTGAAACTGGTTGCCACCCTATACAGATAAACTAGACAAATACACTAAGGTATGTTTCATGTCTACCCCTTAGGAGAGAATATTAAAAGCAAACAAGTTGTCATCCGGTACCTGATGAACTGTTGATTTTGGGTTTAATTGTCATCACCATGGCAGTTTCCAGCAGGCAGCACTGGGTCCTCCAGTACAGAGGCAGAGAGACTGATGAGACCCAGGGAAACCCACTGGGCTCGTGCAGTTCCTTATGCCAGAGCCATCTGTGCTACCACACTGCTGGTGTGGGGAGCAGAAATACCTGGAGTTGGAAGGAGAAGGCCTGGGTTCAAGTTCTGACCCTGGTACTCCCCTGGTTATGATGATAGCAGTTATTCTGTGCCAGGTACTGTGCAAATTGTTGATGTGCATTACCTCATTTAAGCCTCATTACCAGCCTATCTGGTAGGAATTTTTATTATCCCCATATTTTAGAGATTTCTTAATCTGGCCCAGTTGCCCATTGCCTTCCCAAATACTGGGCTTTGTGGAGATCACTGCCATCAGCAAGAGTCCCCACACCCTCAGCCTCTTCTCCACACACTTCCTTCATTCTCCTGCCTGAGACCTGAATGTTTCTTGAACTCTCTTTTCCCACAGCCCTCCTGATGGAAGTCCAGGTTGTTCCAGATTTTGCTCTCCTTTGCTGCTTCAGAATAATTTCTTCTTCATTTTTCCTTCAAAGACCCAACTCCCATGAATATCATGTGGTTAGATCATACCTCTCTTCACTGCAATCATCCTCCGACCCCTCATTCCTCTTTCTCATTTGTTGACACTGTCAACACCTGGCTGGTATCTTCACCTTTGCTCCTGTCACCATTGTTGGTGATTTCTGTATTCAGGAGGACAACCCTACCAACACCTTGGAGGACAACCCTACAATGCCTATTCTCCACCTTACCCAACCAAACCGCTACATAATCTTGACCTGGATATCCCCATTACCTGTATCGCCTCTGAAATTTCACTTCCAAGCAGTCCCTTCATGACCTTGTGTGTTCCCTGCTTAGATAGTCTAAGGTGCCCATAGCACCAATTCTGGGGGTGGCCCCAAAGCCCGTGCTCTAGAGCATTTGACTTCACGGTCACAGAAAGCAATGTGATCGGGGCTTCAGTTTACAAAATCCAGTTGACCCCTGAGCAACATGGGGGTCAGGGGCACTGACCTCCAGCACAGTCAAAAATCCATGTATAACTTTTAACTGCCCTCAAACTGACTACAAATAACCTACTGTTTATCAGAAACCTTACCAGTAACATAAAGAGTTAACACATACTTTGTTTGTTACATTGATTATGTATTGCAATAATAATATGTATTGCAATAATAATGTTTTCTTACAATAAAATGTATTGTTACATTTTACATTTTACAATAATATGTATGCTTATGATAAAAGAAGCTAACAAAATGTTTTTTTTCAGATTTTCTCAGATCCCCCCCCAAATTTTCCAATATGTTTACTGAAAAAGATCTGTGTATAAGTGTACTTATACAGCTCTAACCCATGTTGTTCAAGAGTCAACTGTACTTTTACATGCGTTACCTAATTTGCTCCTCCATGTAAGCTGGTCTGATAATCAGCTTGTCTTTCCCATATATATGGAAACCAAACTTCAGAAAGGCTTAGCAGTTTAACCAAGGTCACTGTCAGAGCAATAGAAGGGCAATAAATATCAAGGCAGGAACTTTTCTTCCCAGGAAATATGTGTGTCTTTCTCTAAACCTCATGTCCTTATGCTGATAATCCAAGGACATTTTCTTCATGAGCATGAGCATGGCTCACTCAGGCCATTCATCAGAAGTCTGAGTGGGGAGCTGAAGGTACATTAAATGCATTGAAGCTCCACAAAGCCCTGCTCCCAAGGAAGGCAGATGTGTGCAGCCCTATGTCTGCTCTGAGTTTGCGCCAGGATCTCCACCCACAAAACAAAGTGGTCTGGGATCCTTGCAGGTAACAGGGACTTCAGTGTCTTGTAGAAAAGAGGTTTTGGAGTCACCTGGGACCTCCTAAGGTGAGGACTGTGTCTTTCCACAGGTCTAGCTTTCTTGCCTGCCAGTGTGTCCTACCTCATTGGCACCAACCTCTTTGGTGTGCTGGCCAACAAGATGGGTCGGTATGTTGCCCGGGGATCTGGGGAAAGCAATAGGGGTGTAAGATGAGAGAGCCTTTGGTGTTGTCCCTAAACATGGGATGAAAGTTTAGGACAAGTACCACAGATAAAAACTGCCCCCTGGGAAGCTGGAGGGGGTGGGGGAGTAAATGGTGAAAACAGTACAGAGAAAGGATTGCCCTGGAACTGGCTGCTGTAGAAAAGGCAGTGAATATTGGAGGGAGCACCTGGATTTTCCAGATGTTTATTGTCCAGTTGAAGAGATAAAATGACCCCATAGAGGATGGGTATGAAAAAGCAGCACATGACGGAATGATTGTCACAGTCTGTTTCATGAGTCTATAGGGAGTTCTACAGAGGCGCCCAGAAGCCACCGAGTGGGAAGCGCTGGGGGCTAAGAGGTGTGAGTCTGATTTCTGTTCCTCCACTAAAGTGAGAACAGCTTTAATTTTATCTTTGGAGTTTAGCATAAAGATTTTAAGAATAAGTTTAAAAACCATGGCTAATAGGAAACCAGAGAAGGAAAGGAGTTTGCTGTTTTTGTGGTTTTTTAAGATGGACCTTGAAGACTAGATAAAATATGAATAGGTAAGAGGTAGTCTGACTGGGAAACAACATGAGTTAAGTTTGGGGGTTACTCTTGAGGGGCCAGCACCTCTGAGTCAGTGGATTCCTCTTCCAAGGGAAGGAATGTGTTCCGTTGCATCTCCTCTGCTTGCACTGTGGAGGGAGGTATGGAGCCAGGGAAGAGAGCAGGAGAAGGGCGGGGACAGGAAGAGGGCTCCCCTGGGCACATCTGGCCGTGCAGAAACGTGTTCATCCTCCCAGGCCCTAAGAGCTTCCGGCAATCAGGGGTGGGGGGACAGGCCAGTGTGATGGTGATGGGGTGGCAGGAAGGGATGTCTCCCCTCAGCACTGTTTGATGTTGGCTCTTTTCTTCCAGGTGGCTCTGCTCCCTCATTGGGATGGTGATAGTAGGTACCAGCTTGCTTTGTGTAAGTATAAGGTCTAGTTGAGAGAGAGAGAGAGAGACCCAGACATTCAAAGACCACTTTCCTTTAAAATGACCAGAGGGCTGACTTGGCAAGGACCGTCAGGAGGACCGTTTCTGTGTAGGCAGGAATTTAGCAGTGGGGAAGATGCCACCCAGCATCCCACTGAAGTTGCTGGGAAGGAGAGGGAGGGGCAGCGGGGCAGCAGGACCCAGAGTTCAGAGGCTCCACGTCTGGGCACATGCAGCAATACACGCTGGATTCTATTTCTAGGGCCAGCAAAAGGGTACATTGTGTGACTTCATTTACTCATCCCACCCCGACAGGACCCCATTAGCCACCAGGGGAGCCTTTATCTGTGCCACAGTCTCCTGCACTAGAATGTTTAGTAGAAGAAGAAAGAAAGAGCATTTCCATTTTCCAGAGCCCCGTTTAAGCTCTCTAAGCCTCCACTGTCTCCTCTGCAATGGGGCTTATAAGCACACTTGCCTCCTGGGCTTGAGAGAGCTGAGAACAGGGCTCAAGAAGAGCTGGAGGTCCTGGTTGAAGGCACAAGGTCCAGGTTAGTCCGGCTTTGCCATTTGCTGCTGATGTGACTTGGAGCTCAAAAAATGATGTCACCTCTGCTCAACGTCCTCATCTGCGTAGAGAGGATTCTGCTAGCATCTCACAGGGTTGTCCACATAAAACGCAGTAGTGCCAGGCACATTTCAAGGCCATGGTGGATCTTAACCAATGCTACTAATAAAATATAAATATTCCTGAGGAATAATCTCTAAAATCATTATCTGCCACTCACATCTAAATAGTGTGTTAAAGCTATGAGGGGTGAACATGCTGGGGTAGCAGGTTTGGGTAACATGCCCAGGGAGAGAGATAAGTAACCAGCAAAAGAGGAAAGGCTTTTGGTGGGGGATTGTGAGGGCACAAGCTTGCTGACTGGCACCCCAGCCATGCCACTTGCCCCTCGTCCTTATGGGTCATTGGCTGTTGGGTCTCTTCTCTGTCTTCTTGCTCCAGTGCCTACCAAGGGAGGGTTTAGCTAAAACTTCAAAGGAGCATGCTAACCATGGAGAAGAGAGGAAACTCCGTCCCCTAAGAATGAGGACAGAAGTTGTCTGGGTGGAGGTGGGTAGGGGAAGGGGAGGGAGAGCCCACAACGCAGAAAAGGACCATTGTTAGGGTATTGTGGACTCAGATCTGAGGCTCAACCTTGATCTTGGCACTTACTAGGTCTGTGACTTTGGAAAGGGCATTTAAGCAAACAGCACCAATCTAATTTATCCTTAAAATGGATGTAAAGATTCTTCTTCATAAAGAAGTATGAGAATACAAGTAGATAATATGTGTGGTGCGTAGCACATAATGACAAACACATTTCGTGTGAAAAGCCTTTCTCTTCGTGTGCCCCACCTGGCCCGGCTGGATTCCTGACGAATTCTTCCTCCCTCTCTGCTGCAGGTTCCTCTGGCTCAGAATATTCTTGGTCTCATCGGCCCCAATGCAGGGCTTGGCTTTTCCATAGGTAAGATGTGTCCTGGGGGAGCCAAGAAGCCCCTGCGTGCTGGCTTTGGGTCGGGTCAGAGGAAGCATGTGGAGAGGCAGGAGGAACAGGAAGCAGGTGGCAGAAGAGATGGGCTCCTAACTCCTGCGTGGAACGGGTTCATTCAGTGCCGTGGGAGGACAGCCGGCATAGGGAGTGGCCCAGGGGAGCAGCGGGCGGGAGGATGTCACAGACGGGAGGGGGCCGTCCGGGCTCTCTGCGTAGAGCTGACAGTGTGTTGTGCGCTCTGGCCACAGGCATGGTGGATTCCTCTATGATGCCCATCATGGGGCATCTGGTGGACCTGCGCCACACCTCGGTGTATGGGAGTGTCTATGCCATTGCTGACGTGGCCTTTTGCATGGGCTTCGCGATAGGTATGTTGGTTGGGGGAGAGGGGAGCACCCTGGACCCGGAGTACCATTCTCTTTCACCTACGGTGTACAAGCTGGAAGTAGAGCCAGGGGGCTGATCCCTCTAGCATCCTGGAGATATCTGACTGTGGGACCCCCTCTGAGTTGGGGAACCTAATGCCCCTCGCATGGGGTCTTCCATGTAATCAAGGCTCTGTAAACACTGTGACTTTGGTTTGTTCCCCGCAGGCCCGTCCACTGGGGGTGCCATCGTGCACGCCATCGGCTTCCCCTGGCTCATGGTCATCATCGGGGTTGCCAACATCATCTATGCCCCTCTCTGCTACTACCTGAGGAACCCCCCAGCCAAAGAGGAGAATCTTGTAAGGGATTCTAACTGCTGCGAAAAAAAGAATAATCTTCTGTTTCTTTCCATGTCTCTCATCCCTTTTATTCCTGGGTTCTTATTTCCTCCCTCTTTGATAGTCTCTCTGCCTTGCCCTGTTTTCTAATCTCCTTTCCATCTTTATCTTTCCTTATTTTTCCTGCTACAGAACCGCTTTCCCTCACACACTTGGCAGTTAAGAAGGGTCCTAAGGGAGGAAGGAAGATGAGAGGTTTGTAAAGAATTGAGGGCAGAGACCATCAAAGGCATCCTGTACTTGTAGCTGTTGGTGAAGTGTGAATTTCCAAATCATCTCTCCTAAGTGGGAAGAATTCACCGGGCGCATTCACTCATTATCCTTACTAGGTCATCTCTTAAGATACAAAAACTCCCAGGAAAAGAATCACAACATATGATTTTAGTTGATAGGATACCTTCCTCCTCCTGAAGCGTGAGCACCCCGAGAGTCCGAGTGGCTTGGGGAGGGATGTGGAGGCAGCCCCAAGGAGCAGAAGAAGACAGGAAAGTCTGATGGTGGTGGGGGTGGTGCCGATCTCAGCTGGCTTGTTCTGTAGCCTGTTGTGCTGTTAGGATTCAATTAAGAGCAGATCAGAGTTTGTCTTGGTTAGGAGTGCTACACCCACGTGCCTCGGGAGCCCTATGCACGTACCTGAATAGAAAGAGAGTTGTATGCTTATTTTTTGAGTCTTTCCTGAGCAACACTAGACTTGGATAACTAACTGAGGAGGGGGATGGGGAGACTGATAAAGATGCGTGGTGATTTCTCTTCCTGCTTCTCGCTGCAGGCAATTCTGAGCCAGGAGTGCCCCATGGAGACCCGGGCGTATGCAACCCAGAAGCCCACCAGGGAATTTCCTCTTGGAGAGGGCAGCGATGAGGAGCCTGACAGTGAGGAGTAGCAACAGAAGGTGGTCCCGGAGCCTTGTCACTGTGGAGCCGTGAGGCTTAGACTTCAGTGACCCCCTCTCTACCTGGAACCAGATCCCCTTGGGCTGCTCAGGGCTTTCCTTTCCTCTCCCCAGTATCTCCATTCCTCCCTCCCTGGTGCCACTGCCCAGTTCCCTTTGCACTGGTGTAACCCATGGCCCCCCCTCTATGCTGCAGGTGGCCCATCTTCTGTGGAAGGACAGTGGGATGCTTCCTCCTAGGCTGTTGCTGATTAAACTTGAGCTGTGACGGGCTCTGCAAGGGCTGACTCATTCCATGGGGCAGCAGTGAGCACAGGGCGCTCCTGAACCGGTGGGGTGATGGCAAACCTCGTTTCATTCATAATCTTTCCTTGGCACATTCCCAGTGTCTCCTGATCCTCAGCAGGGTCCTCCCTGACTTTTCCCAACTGAGTTGAGAAAACGCTCTCAATGTGGTCCTGCTGCCAAACTGCCAATCTGGGAAATTGTTTGCCTGGTTTTTAGAAGCTAAGTGGCTTTTCTGTGGCTAAGCCTGCAGCTGCCTGAGTGAGTTCACCTTCAGTGACTGGAGGGCTTCTTGTTTCTTCATGACAAAGTAGAAAAGGAAGGAGCCTCTCTCTCATGCTTGAGTTGCTGACTCTTGCTGTTTCCTCTGTGGGTTTCCATCTTTTCTAAACCTCTTAGACTCAGAAAGGAAAGTAGGAGGATGGAAAAAAATAACTAACCCAAGATTGCATCAGAAGTGAAGAGCAGCTGCCCTGAAATCCCTTCGAACTGTGGATATCCTAATACAAGGATTATAATGAGGCGTTGTTCACACCTGCTAATGAATAAGTTATTACCTAATTCAGATGTAGTAAGCTAGATGCTCTTTTATGGCGAAAGAGACTGTGTGGGGGCAAATACAGTAGGTGCTTTGACTATTTTGACATTTTGTTACAGTTGAGTGAGGGCTTTCAAAGAGACAGGAGACATGGCAGTCACCTTTAAGGAGCTTCCCATCTATTTGGGCAAAAGAGAAATACAGTATAAAAGTGATCCGGACTGAAAGCTAGTGCACGCTGTGTTCAAGTACAGAGAGGGATGCTCAAGGTAGGCATGGGAATAATGGTGGAGCTGGAGGTGTGGCAGGGATGGAGAGACCCCAGGGACAGGCTGTGGGGGTGCCTGAAGATCAGAGTAGGGCATCCGGACTGTATCTGGGATGATTCCTGGCTCTGATGACGGCAGTCCTGTGCAGGAGTTAGGTAGGTTCAGTACAAGCCCTGAACCTGGAACACGTTCAAGCTGAACTTCCATAAATCCTTGACTCTTAGACAGTTGATATCTGATTTATAGAAATGTTTTTATGGGGTTGGCATTGACTAGACTTAGCTGATTTGCAAAACAGATGTATTTATATTGTCATTTAGTCAGGATGATAATTTGTCTCATAATTTGAAGAAACCCAAAGGTAAAATTAGAAAATCATTTGTCAGAATATGTAAGCTGTAACTACAAAGTAGACTGAGTGCATGGCCACTGGGATTCCTGCACAAAGGTGGGGTGGGGTGCAGAGGGGTCCCAGCGCTGACAATGGCACAATGCTGATTCTCACATCCATGTGAGGAGGGTTTATAATAGAGGATGGGCTTGTAACAGAAGTTGTGAGCACATTAAAAAATAGGAAGAGTTTTTAAAAGAGGAAATCACCCTTGACTTTCAAGATAATATGACTTGAGCAATGTAAAACATGTATTTAAAGGGAAAACAATTGATATAATTTATTCAGACAAGAGTCAACACCAAACACTACAAAGAAAGTTAGGGCACATTTTTATTTTAAATGAGAAACAGGTTATAAACATAGCCCATGTATGGAAGAGTATAAAAAAGGAGACAACCAGAAAAATAGGAAATGGAATTAGTCTCTGTACATGGCTTTATAAAATGATATGAAAAAATAATGCATGGAAAATTTACCACATTCACAGGTGACAGTAAAGTGTTCTAAAAATAAAGATACAGTTCAGCAAAAATGAGCCATGAGAAGTTTTTTTTAATAAAAGAAACATGCATACAATGTCAGATGGCCTCCCCTGTGGAAAGGTTGAAGATACCCATTTTCTACTTAATGAAAGGGAGATGCAAGGACCATACCGTGTATATAAGATGATGAATTAACAACTACATGCAGCAAAGAAGACAGTGGAATAAATGAGCTGCTGTGCTCTATAGGCCAGAAACACACTGGGCGTTCTCAGACAGAGTGTGGGAAGTGGAATTCACTGCTCCACAAATCAATGTGGTAACTGTGGAGGTAGAGAAAGTGCAGATGAGACCCTGAGATGATCAACACGTGACAGGGAGAGCGGTGTGCAGAGAGACAGGAAAATTCTTAAAAGGAGGGACTCAAATCCTAGGGGTTATGGTTGAAGTAGCTAAAATCCTTACGGAAGGCCCAGGCTTGGAGGCTGTGGTCTCGGAACACTTCCACACAGGGCCTCTCCTAAAGCACTGGAGAACTAAGATGTGAGTTCATTTTAGGGATACTATCTCACCGTGTTTTCTTATTTATTCATTATTCCAAGGTATAGCCCAAACTGAAAGAATAAACTTTGTATGACAATGTGGCTGTCATGCTGGAGATATAGCCCTGTGATGCTCCTCCTGAGACTGAATGAAAGAAGGGCAACACCATTTCGGCAAGTATCCCGGGCTGTCTCAGGGAGATGCAGCTGAGTGTCTCTGCTGCCTGTGTGTGACCCTGTTAGCCCTCCCACGTAGGCTGAGCTCCGGGGGCAGCACCCCAGGACCGCCTCACACACACTGCTCAGTCCCGGTGAGTTCACCCCTTATAGTCTTGTCTGTAGGAAGAAAGCTTTTTTGCAACAATGGAGGATCATTTTCCATGTTTGCCTTTTTTTAAAGTGAAGTATCATTGCTATACATTCTTATATTGGTTTCAAGTATACAACACAGTAGTTCACAGTTACCATATTATTAAATCCTCACCCCTACTAGTGCAGTTACTGTCAACATAGGAAGATGTTACAGAATACTGAGTGTATTCTCTGTGCTGTACTGCTATCCCAGTGCCCAGCTGCAGCAGGGAGGATGGGACACAGCCCTCTCCGTGCTTGCTGTGTGGGCTTAAGAGAGGAATGCGGCAGGTCATGAAGGGAAGGCAGGCCAAATCGAGAGTAACAGACCTAACTCTAATGCTTGGTGCAGCTCTCCGACTTTCTGGCTGTGTGGTGCAGGGTGGGTCAGTTCATGCTCACTATCTGTAGGTCTAGCTTTCTGTGGTTCCATCCCACCCTGGCTCATTTTGGGATGGCCATCACTGCATGCCAGGGTGGAGTCTGTGGAAGAGCCCAAGTTAGGGCTGAGAGGCCAGTTGAGTGTTTCAACAGCATCTCAGAAATATAAATGCTACTGAGGTTCAGTTGCCTGCTTTCAGGAAATTACTGGAAATGAAGTGTGCCTCTTTCTCCTTCTGCTCCCTCCTCCCCCCTTCTCCTCTTTATTCTTCTGGAGAGTGAAGGGCACAGTGCTAGCAGAGCAAGGAGTGGCTGGATCTGTTTGCATTTACCCTCCAAACTGAGTCATCACCGTCTGCAGAAGTCACCAGGGAGAAGAGTGAGGATGTCAGATTGCTCGCTTGTTTTGGTTCCTCAGACTCTTATCCCAGGTCATCAACTGACAACTCTCCTAAAAGGGAGAATTTCAAGGTCCTGGACATGCTGTGGGGCAGGCAGCCAGAGTGTATGTCATGTTTGCGATCTGGAAAGAGGCAGTGAGTGGCCTTACAGAGCAAAGCCGATGCCAGAACTCCACTACATACAAGCACTGTGAGAATGAAAACTTCCTTGTCTGTAAGGTGGGGATAACAGTAATTCCTTTTTAATAGGATTGTAATGAAGATTAAGTGAGAAAATGATAAATGGAATGAGAGTGCACTTTATAAAGTTCTATTCAAGTGCTACTTTCTACCATCAGTCCAACTCTCTTATCTCACAAAACGGGAAATGGAGGTCCAACAAGATAAGTGAGCTGCCTAAGATCATACAACTAGAATGGGGCCTTTTGTACATACAAAACCCTTACCAGATATGTGATTTGCAAAGATTTTTTTCAAATTATATGGGTTGTCTTTTTACTCTCTTGATGGTGTCCTTTGGAGCACAAATGGTCATAATTTTGATGAGGTTCATGTATCTATTTTTAATTTTTTACTTGCAGTTTGGCATCCTAGCTAAGACACTGTTGCCTATCCCATGGTCTTGAAGATTTATACCCAAGTTTTCTTCTAACAGTTTTCAGGTTTAGCTCTTACATTTGGATCTTTGCTCCATTTCGAGCTAATTTTTGTATATGGTATGAGGTAGGGGTGCCGTTCCATTCTTTCACACATGGATTCAGTCGTCTCAGCACCATTTGTTGAAAAGACTATTTTTTCCCCACTGAATTTTCTCAGCATCCTTTTTGAAAGTCAATTGACTGTAAATGTAAGGATTTATTTCTGAGTCCTCAATTCTATTCCATTAATCTTTTTTTCAATCTTTGTGACAATATCTTACTATATTGATTAAGGTAACTGTGTATTAACTTGTAAAATCAAATAGTTAAAAAAAACAATTCAAGTGTATGAGAAAAAAACAACAGTCTTTTCATCCTTCTTCACCCCTAAATCCTATCTTCCACCTTGAAATTTTTAGCTGTTTTACTTATTTACATCAAAAAGTCTACTTACTCAGCTCTTTCTTGATTTACTACCTTTTGGCCTAATCTACTGTGTTCCTTTAACAGGAGATGGAGATTTGGTGTTTTTACTTGCCTTCAGTCCCCCTATATGCTCATGTAGTTCCACAGGGAAAGGTGTTCCCTGATAGCTGGGAGAACGATTTTTATTGCTAATCGCTTGCTCGAATTTGCAAGCTAGGCCTGGCCCCATCCGTCTCCTCGGCTGCCACTCTCATTCCGCCCTCACTGCACGCTCTCTACTTCCCACCAGCCCCTTCCAGGAGGAAATCCATTGGTGGGTCCGTGATGACTGGCAGACAACAGACCAATTACATACCAGGAACAGAGAGGGGAGGAGAGAATGGCTGATTTCTCTCCATCCCTTGGGGCAGGTGGATGGGAGGCTCTGCAGTGGTAAACACCTACTGATATGTAAATGAACTAAGATTAGGCAGGAGATTCTAAAAATTCTGCCATTTACCTCACAGGCCATATCACAATTTTTTAAATTAATAATAAGAATTTGCATTATTATGACCAAATTAGCACTGCTGCACTAAGGCTGGTGCTCTGATTTCATTTCATTTTTCTGTAACATTTTGTTTTCCTGGAGTTGGCAATGACTGCTGTGTTTGCTTGGTTTTCTAGATTGCTCTCACTCATTCTTCTCAAGTCTTCCAGCATATTTGCAGTGCCTCTCTGACTACTAATTGCTGAGCACAGCAGGTAGTCTATCCACTTACTTGTTTCCTGGAGATGTCCCTCCACCTGAGTCCTCTGCCTGGTTCTCTAAGCCCTGGAAGACCACTC